TTGAAGGGGTGCTCCCTTTCACCGTCGTAGGCGCCTCAATCTATTAAACCCCGGAAGACCAAGCAATTCGCAGGAGATTCCACGCCTACCCAAACACATGGTCACCTACAACTTTTTCAGCCTCCATTTTTTTTAGCTTACAATGTGAGACTACCATGTGCCTGAAAAGGCGTGGGATCTCCAGGGAGAGTGCTTGGACTTCCGAGGTATACTAGATTGAGGAGGCTATGACAGTGAAAGGGAGCGCACCCTCAAAGACAAAAGGAGGATCAGGACCCATCTCTCAATTATTCAACCTTCGATTTTTCTCAACATGTCCGTACAATAAAGAGACTTCATTGACCGGCATGTTGAGGAAAGCAAGAGTTGAAGAATGTTGAGAAAATGGTCCTGATCCTAATTCAATTGTCTCATCTCAGCTACCTTTTATAGAAGACTCAAGAAGATATCCTCCTTGATACGCGCGACGTTATTAAGTTGCCAAAGACTGAGAAGACGTTTTGGAGCGACTCTTCAAATTCGCAGAACTGCGAATAAAATGCGATGAATCGCACTTCATTCGCATAACTTTATGACAATAAATGATTTTGCATATCTGGTTAATCAAGAAGATATCTATCCTCCTTGATACGCGCGTCGTTATTAATTTGAGAAGACTTGAGGGGACGGTTCGGAGCGACTCTTCAAATTCGTAGAACTGCGAACAAAATGTGAAGAATCGCACTTCATTCGCATAACGTATTGACAATAAATGATTTCGCATATATGGTTAAAGAAGATATACTCAAAAAGATTTCTATCCTCCTTGATATGTGCGCTGTTATTATGCGCCGAAGACTGAGGGGACGTTTCGGAGAAGAGACGACTCTTCAAATTCGCAGAACTGCGAACAAATGCGATGAATCGCACTTCATTCGCATAACGTATTGACAATCAATTGCATCTGATTTCGCATATCTGGTTAAAAAAAATACGTAAAATATAATTAATTGTTTTTAATGCGCCGAAGACTGAGGGGACGTCGTTTCGGAGAAGAGGCGACCTTTTCCAAAAAACAACTGTCATTTTGCGAGACGAAAAGACGCAACATGCCAACCTTTATTTCGCAGCACGGCGAACAATGTGCGATTACAATCGCATATCTTTCGCATACCTGAAATTAAGGAGGGAAAAAATCCCGCCCAGTGAATTACTAGAGCAGTGAAATGAAATTATGGTTCAAGCTCAATTTTAGATAAAATGTGGATTATGAGTTAAGGTATGTAGATAAATATGGTTTAATATGAAATTGATTGACAATAGAATAAAACCACTTATTAAGAAATATAATAATGTTCAAGCTCAATCTTAGATAAAATGTGGATTATGAGTTAAGGCATGTAGATAAATAAGGTTTAATATGAAAGTGATTGACAATAGAAGAAAACCACTTATTAAAAAATATAATAATGTTCAAGCTCAATCTTATAT